ATGCTTTAGGGCGGGGCTACACGGTGATTGACGGGTCTCTACCAGAGCGCTGTCCGGTCTGGGAGTTGTCCGTGTTTTCGTCTTACAACTTTAACCATTTTCACCGTGTGTTTTCACTTCATGAAAGTTAATTGTAACATGTCGGTCGACTAAAAATGTTCGGTTGTACTTAGCTCTGCCCTCTAATGTCACAAAAAAACAAGATGGCGACAGACAAAATGCTGAACTCAAGGCTTTAAAGTCGTAGATTTGTGAAGTCACTGTGATTACGTTCACTTCTTACAGTCAGTCTACAGTCAGGCCAGTAAATCTAACTTCCATCTTAGGCCCACTGCCTGTTGTTAAGCGGCCCGCGGTGAATTTTTAAAAAGTAAACTAGAATATTAAGTATGAACTTGAGTATATCTCTAATAAATTAGCTCGTTGCACTTCTTCGTTTAAACACTAGATGTCGCTGCCATTTTGAACAACTACTTGACCTGCATTGATTGCTAGTCGATGAAAACATTTAACTTCACTTGATGAGCAACATGTTGGAACTGAACGGACGAAGGACAGCGAGTGAATCCTGAAATGTTGGGAGAACGAGTCAAAAGGGAAGTGTGTTTGCTTAATCTGCAAGGATTATGTTGCTGTGATGAAAATGTATAACGAGAGAAGACATTATGAAAGTAAACAGTTCTTCAGTAAATCAGTTTCTCACTTCGTACATGTACTTATCCTGGAAACAGGAGTTTAGTTAAAACAATGTGTACAGGGGCAAGTACAAAGTGACTTACTGCAAGTAGACATCAAGTTAACAGACATCACGGTTAAATCCGGTAGAGCAGTGGAGGTGAATGTTTGCTTTTCTTTACCCGTGTCTGTTCCTCTTCCCGTATTCGTCGTCAGATATGGGGTCCAGGTCGGGGAGGGGAATGATGTAGCCGCTGTCGGAGCTCAGCCGCTGCTCGTCGAAGCCGCTCTCCCGGTCCTTCAGCTTGCCCTGGTTCTTGTAGCTGATGCCCACGTAGGTGTCGTCGTTCTCCACGCACACCCGAGTCACAGCCGGGTGGTCGCTCTTCAGGAACTCGTGGTTCACCCTCTCGTAATGCTGCGTCAGGGAGACGGACACGTTGAGAGTTCAGTGCTTGAATGAATCAATAAAAGGTCACAGTGACGCCTCAGGAGGTACGAGTGTGTGAGCGCTGGTGGTGCTGCCAGCTGGGTGGTGCGATTCCCCCCCGGGCCGTTAAACCGCTGTGAAGGAGGCAGAGGTACGGCTGTTTTGATGTACCATGTGTGGCGTGGAGCTTAATGGGGTAATTTAGGCTGGGTGGTGGAGGCTCACCCAGCTGCACTCTAATCACTTGTTGGGTTCACAGAAACACTTCTCATGCACTCTCAGGAAGTGGAAGGGGCGTTTTTAAATGAGACACTGTTTTAAAAACCTGCACTTTGCTCGGCAACACGACTCAAAAGAAAAACTGCAAGGGGAGGAGCTAATCGTCAGCCTGGAAAACGCCAAAAAGAGAAGAAACAGAATGTGCACGAGGTCGAGAATGAGAGGTGGTAAAGCCAGAAAGCAGGTGTTGGGAATCCAAAGAGGTCTGAGGGGTCACGGGGGGGGGGGACTCACCCTCTTGTAGCTGGAGGGCAGCAGAGAAGAAACCGTGTCACTCAGACCCATGAACGAAGGCCTCTTCTCCTGCTCGCTGTTCCAGCACTTCATCATCATCTCATACCTGAAAGAAAGAAAGAAAAAAACAAGCGACGTTAACTTGTGATCTTGACTCATGTCAGCCACTGTACATCACAGCTAGAGACAAGCCACTCCTCATCACAGCACATGTGATGATCATGTGATCACGTACACGTCATCTGGTGCAAGCTCCGGTTTGGACATCCGGTATCCACTCTTGATCTTGTTGTAGAAGCTTGAATCCACCACCATGCCTGGGTATGGGGTTCCACCTTCAGACCCCCCAAAACAAACCAAAACAGATTCTCATCATCCAACTCCAATGTAAAGGCTTTATTTTCTCTGACAGACGCTTGCAGTGGACTCACCTAAGGAGAATATCTCCCAGAGCAGGATGCCGTACGACCAGACGTCACTCAGAGTGGTGTACATGTTGTCGAAAATACTCTCTGGCGCCATCCACTTCACGGGCAGGAAAGTCTGCGTGACGACGGGGAGGAAATGTTCAGTCTCGCTTGCAAAACCGTTATGAAAAAAACAAACTATTGAAGACTAGACTATTAAAGCTGTGTTTTAAGTGAAAGCTGGTACGAGCGGAGACTCACACTCCCTTTGGAGACGTAGTTGCTGTCGTGCATGATGTCTCGGGCCAGTCCGAAGTCGCAGATCTTCACGATCTTTCCCTGAGAGAGGAGGACATTCCTGGCGGCGAGGTCCCGATGAACACACTACAAAGAGAGAGAGGAAGCAGAAAGATGACCAGCAGCTCGTCGCTTCACACACACGGTTGTTTTTTTCAGCCCTCTCAGTTCCATCCGTTTCCAGAACTCATTTCGCTCCCACAGCTACCGACTGCATCTATTTCTAGAAGTGTTTCATTTCAGCCGAGTTCATTTTTTAATGCCGTTTCATTTTGGCTTTATAAAGCTCGGCCTTTGTGTAAACATGCCAGTTGGAGGGATGGCTGTGACCGCTGGATATTTAGGGATAATAACTATGAAGCTGAGTGAATAGCTTGTGGCTGCAGCCCGGTAATTCTAGCCCTGGCTGTGCTGCTGCTATATTCGGCCCCTGGCTGCTCTCCTGAGTGGGCTCAGCAGCCTTCACCAGACCGCTTATCACCCAACGGCTTCAGTCCCCCTTTGGCCGGCACTGCTGTCCCCGTATAGGACAAAATCCACAACCAGCGGGAAGCAGGGGGAATGTGAGGCTGCAGGACCTAAAGCCATGGACGGATTACTGACAGGCACACAGGGGCCCAACGGGTTAGGGGGCCCCTGGACCTGTGCATGTTTGAAGTCACTGCTTATATTTCTTGGTAGGAAGTCACAAAACCCCCAAAAAGAGACGCAATAGAACCATAACCAGACACAAAGTGACCAAAACAAGATGCAATACGACTAGAAAAAGATGCTAAACAACCGCAGAGACAAGAAACGACCAAAACGAGATACAAAACAACCAAAAAGAGATGCAAAACTACCAAAGACGCATGGAAAACAATTGAAAAGAGATGCAAAACTGCTAAAAAGAGACACAAAACGACAAAGACACACAAAAGCACCAGAAAGAGACGGAGAACAACTACAATTTGATGTAAAACAACCAATAAATCTCTTTGAATCTGTGGCTCTTGTTCCTATATTGGAGGGGTGGGGGCCCTTCACATGTCTGTGCCCAGGGGCCCCTTGTCTCATAACCCATCCATGCCTAAACCAAAGCTGTACAAACGTTTTCATTTATTGTGTCTCTGTGGAAAAAACGTACATTCTTGGAAGCCAGGAACTCCATGCCTTTGGCCACCTGGTAGGTGAAGCTGAGCAGATCGGTGGTGCTGAGGCCCTCGTTCATGTCGTCCATCTCGTCCTCTGGTTTAAGTAAACACACAGAAAACAGCCATGAGTATATACGTTCATCACGCACCGGCTGCTCAGACCTGGCTTCTGAACTAATGGCAGGGAGAAACCGGGCATTATTATGCTGCCTGCTGCAATTATCCTCTCCATGTAATTACAGGGCCGCACCAGGAACTCAATTCTGACAAGGGTGCACCCCTCAAAACCAACGCTGACTCAAAACAAACGCAGCGCTGACGCCGAGTCAGTGCACACCAGTAGCTCAGAGGAGAGGGTGAGCGGCGTGCGTACCTTTCTGAGAGGGCGGGTGGTCGTACTCAGACTTCTGGATGTCCGAGTACTTGGAGGCGTCGCTCATCTCCAGCATGGGGACGTACTGAGTGTTGTCGCCCTGCTTCATATCCATGTAGTCTGCTTTGCCCTCGAAGGACAGGATCACATAACTGTGTGCAAAGAGAGGGAGAACATTAGAGCCATGATGTGGTGATAATACATCATGTCATACATCGGATTCTGTCCCTTATTGTGTGTGTGTGTGTGTGTGT